AAGACAACAGGATAATAGGCCATGCATTTAAAGTTTAGAAAGACAGGCAAAACTGAAATTAAGACACAAATAATTTAAAGGAAGATGTTGTCAAACTAAATATATATAAATTAACCAGTAAATATGTTCATAAACCATTTTTTTCAACACTTATGTTTTTATGGTTAGTTTTGATGTAAAAAATCTTCACATATGTGCCAGGAAGTAATTAACTGTTCACTGGAATGCTATCAGAATGACTCCAATCCCAGATCCTGTTTAGAAGTTTCTGTAATCAAAGAATTCTTCATTTTTCAGCATTTTCAACTTCAAAGTGTTATTTATGATCAAATCAAAGATATAAGTATTGGAAATCCAGTTTCACCCAATATATTTATGATCACAAGTGAATCACAACTTACCATTTTCATTTTCCTAACTTCTCTAGTTTTCTGGATTCATGATGTGGATGAAATTCTTACTGCTTTAAATATTCAAACTGTACTGATAGTTTTTTTTCAAATTTGAATGGAATCAATCCCAACATTAAGTTCACAATCAAAAATTAAGCTGATGGCAAACTTTCATTAGAAAGAATAAAGGTTGAAAAAAATAATTAAAAAGTTTACCTCCATTGGAATCTTTTCCATGGTCTTAAACAAAAAATTGGGATCATAAAAATTCTTCTTCATACAGACAAAAACTATTTGTTTGTCTGACAGGCTTTTCTCACTGAGAAAAATGTGTTAAAACCTCAATTTATTAGAGAATAAGTATTCTTCCAAAGAGGCAAATAAAACTGATAAAAAAAGTGATATATCGATTTCAATGTAACAATTTCTCTTTCCTATCAGAAAAAACACCAGGCCATCTTCTGTGAAGACAATTTAACTATGACACATGAGGATCAGCTTATCAAATGAAATGTAAAAACTCTGTTAATTCTTACGTCAAAGAAATTGGCTGGAAGCTTTGAATAAGACTGAACAAGTACTTGAAAGCTCTCTCTTATGTATTAGAACACATGGTTAAACATAACCACTCCTTTGATTTTTCAGAATGTTAAAATCATTTAGAAAGAAAACAATATAAATTGCAGAAAAATTAAAGAAGCTCTCTTTATCAAAAACAAAACAAAAACCTAACATTAATCAATATACAAGTGAATTCATATTTATTCTAATTTTTGTTTTTCTTATTTAGCCATTGTTTTTTTTATTACATTATCATCTAATGATGTAATATCATTATTGATATTGTTAGATGTGATAGTTCAAACTGTTGTACTATTCTATTCAAAGTTTGCCACCTGGTGATAGTAGATAGAAATACCTAGTGAATTTATTAAAAGAAAAAAAAAAGGGTTTTAAAACTTGATTACTCATTTGTCCATAAATAAATATATTTTATAGTTCTGATTTTATAACAGGTGAAGTTTTGTAAGTAGTGAAGACCAGTACTTTACAAATAACAATGTATCAGTTTCAGTTTTTATTTCTCTTCAAGTCTCATGGGTGATGCATGCAGGGACAGCCTTGAAATACCAAATGGTTCTTTGTTGTTCATATATTAAGATGATCTTATGTTACAATAATTTATTCAGGACTATGTTATTGGGAAAGATATCCTAAAACAAAAGAGAATGTTGTGGTATGTTGAAAATCAGGTCCTTTGTTACTAAACAATCTTCATTAATATTATTTATCAACAGTGTCATACCAATGAATTTTTCAGGAGACTGTAGAAAAAAAAATGTATAGTTCTTCTTGGTATGCCATAAATCATTGTTGGAGAAATTTTTTTTGACCCCAAAAAAGAAGAAAAAAGCAGTGAAGTGATACTACTTAAGATAAAAGTAGAACTTGGCAATTAACTTGATATAACTGATAACTTCTCAGAATTGATTACATCAATTATTGTCACATAAAATAATCAATTAATTGAAATTAGTGATTTTGATTATTCTAGTTATTCAAGTAATGGAAATATTGCCAATATGATTTCCCAATATTATATTTGGTTAATTCAAGGTTGTTCAGCTTAATTGATTAATGTCAAGACTCATGTAAATACTCAACTAATCGAAATGAGTGTTTCCAATTATTCCACCTATCCAAGTCAAATGTAAGAGTAATCAATTAATGAGCCTGATGTTAATCAGTTATCAAATTCCACTAATCACCCAGCTGTACCAATAAGTTAAAGCAGTGGTTCCCTAACCCAAGGTTGTGAACTCCCAAAATAATCAAGAAAACTTGATGGCTAAAATCATTGTTAGTATGCAGATAGAAAGCATACACAACCTCAATATAAATTTTTCTGGTTTTCTAACTATGCAACAAGAGCCATTACAAATTCATCCAAGCTAGTCATTTACTTTCCCACTGGAATAAACTATGTATTATAAGTGAACTGACATCTACCTGTTCAGAAAACAATGTAACACATCATTTCATATATGCAAACATTGACTTCATATTGGTTATAAATGATGTATAATTAAATGCACGAGAGAACTATTAATAAATCCTGAAAGGGACGACGTGACAGGTGGGGTGTGGCCAAGAGACGATTATCCATTGACAGTCTTAGTATCATGTTCATACTAACGTTAATAGTGTGTTATAAAATTAATTGCTGTCGTTTGTATCATGCTATTATAAGTGTTCATTAATATTATACATTAATTATTTGTTTTTTTGTGTTTGACCTGTAAGTTTCTATAATATTTTCTTTGTATTACTAATCTGACTATTATAATCCAAATTCAACATTATTTGTACACCAATTCTTGTGCTTCACAATTTTTATTTTAGTTTTAGTCTTATTTTGTGTTTAAAGGAAATAGTGATTTGTTTTATAATTATTTTTTTTGTCAATAGAAATTACTTTTATTTTTGTTCAACAAAATTTGTGTATAGATCTAGTTTGTAATTAACATTTTTTTATGTGTTACAATAACAACTAGATTCGTGATTTTTAACGTTCCTCAATTTTGTAATAATGCATTTGATGATTATTGTGTCATTCAGAGTGGCTGAAAAAAATTCACCAAATCCTGAAGTGTGGTAATTTGCTGTCATTTCACAACACTAATTTTGGTTTCAGTATTTCAGATCCTTTGTTTTGAAAAATGGCTGCGAAAAGTAGTGGTATGTATCAATACAGTTATAAGCCAGAATGTTTGAAGTTTGGCTTCAATGAGCTCAAGGAACGATCGGGCTTATCTCGTGTGCAGTGTGTGTGTGTGAGAAGTGCTTGGAAGTCTTAGCGAACTCATTTTTGAAAGAAAAGAAACTAAAATGCCATGTGAGTTTAGTGCACCCAAATCTGGTTAACAAACCACTGAGCTTTTGGAGAGATAAAGAGGATGGTGTCAAAAACATTAGGCTTGATGTGCCCTCATAATCTTCTATTGGAGAAAGCTACATTGGCCTCTTTTGAGGTGGCATGGAAAATAGCACGATGTAAGAAGCCTCACAAAATTGGAGAAGAACTTGTGAAGCCAGCTGCCATTGCAATAGCAAGGACTGTTTGTGGAGAGGAAGTGGTGAAAAAACTTGAAATGGTACAACATCCCAACAACAGTATCAAACACTGAGGATATGTTGGATCAAGTTCTAACAACCTTGAAAAAAGCAGGGAAGTTTCCCTTCAAATAGATGAATCTGTCGATATTGGAGATGATCCTCAGCTCTTGGTTTTCGTACAGTACAAGGGAGAAAAAGACTTCATTGAAGAATTCCTCTTCTGCAAATCACTTTCAATCACAACAAGGGGGCAAGGACATCTTCAAACTGGTTGACAGTTTCTTCAAGAATCATGTCCTCGAGTGGACAAATTGCTTGGCTGTCTGCATTGATGGCGCTTCAACCATGATGGGAAGCCAAGTATGATTTTGTGCTCGGGTTAAGAAGATCAATCCCAGCGTTGTCATGATTCCCTGCTTCCTGCATCGAGAAAACCAAGCAACCAAAGAAATGCAGTTGGAATTCACAAGGATGCCATCAAAATTGTGAACTTTATCAAAGCAAGAGGTCTGAACTTAAGGATGTTTTGAAAGATGTGTGAGAAAATGGGATCTGAGCACCAAGACCTGCTCTTTCACTCTGAAGTACACTATCTCGAAGAGAGATCCTTGCAAGAGTTTTAGAAATGAGAACTGAAATTGAAATATATCTTTATGAGAAGAAGCATGTCTTGGCTGGCTGCTTCAAGGATTCCACTTGGCTGGCAAAATTGGCCTATTTGAGTGACATCTTCCATTACCTGAATGAACTGAACACATATGCAGGGTCGCAACTAAACTATAATTAATATAGGTGAAAAAAAGAATGATTCATCTCCAGGAAAATCAAGTTTAGTTAGGAAAAATTTGTTCAGCTTCTGTATTCAAGTTTTTTGGCCCAACTGAAAGATAAGATGATTCTCAACTGGGAAGCTGAAAAAGTTCTGCTGCCTTTTGCAACAATGTACCTCTGTGAATCAGGAGTCTCAAGCCTCATGGACCAAGGTAAGAAATAGACTTAATCCTCAACATGATCTGCACTGCACTCTCTCTATCAATATTAAACCAAGATTGGATCAACTGATTATGAAGATGCAACAGTATCATGGAAGCCAATGAAAATGAAGGGCTTGCATTAACAATCAGCTGAGCAAACACTGATGTCTATATTTTTATTAATTTCAAGTAAATTAGTGCTTGCAGCTTTCTTTGGTCAACAGTTGAACTTATTCAGAAAAAATAAAATTAGAAGAAGTTGAGTAATTGTGTCTACATTTTTTCCCAAATGTTTCCTTCAATATTATGTTATAAATCTGCAGTGATTTGCTAGGGTGCTGAGTAGGTACTGATACTATTTGGGTCATAAGGCCAATGTAAATTTTAAATTTTGGGTCGTGGACAAATAAGTTTGGGAACAACTGAGTTAAAGCAACAAAACATTTTGTAATAAAACAATATTTTTTGACAACTTTTATACCATGAAAAAAGAAATTAGCCCACAATTTCTTAAAGTTTTTATTGTGAAAAACCAAGAAAAAAAAAACATGGCAAGTAACTGATTATGCATACTGCTCACTTGATGACATTTCTTACACATATACAGGTTTCATGATTTAATTGTACTCTTTTTAGTCCTGCTGAAATTTAAGAGCCTATTTTTATATACTTTTACTTAGCAATAAACTTTAAAAGAGCTGACTATATCCTATTCCTCCCTTGTCTAGTCTCAAGTGCTGCTACCAATGCTCTCATCTTCAGTAACAATGTAAAAAGATGAGGGGAAAAGTTCTTCATGCCGCTCTGTCAAGTACCTTCAATGAATAAAACATTCTGATTACAAGCAGCACTAGATAGCCTAGTGTGACTTAAATGATGCACATAAATGGATCCAGTGTGTGTTATAAATTAAAGTGATTACATACATTTTATCAAAATTGGAAAAATTAAAGAGGGGTTCAATACAGTTTAATTTAAAAAAAAAGTAATTTATCAAGAAACTTTAAAAACATACTTTAGCAACACCACAATTCCATATGTTGTCAAAACAAGTATGTAAATGAGTCAATAATGGATATTGGTAAAATCATAAGAATTTACTTTCAGTTAGAATTATGTTACTAAGAGTGAATTATTTTTATATAAAAGATGTTTCACATTTGAATTATACCCAACTTTCAGGAATATTTTGAAGTCATCTGGTCACAAAGCTCATAACCTTACCAACAGCAGAACTGAATTGTTGCATATGCAGTTAATTAACAAGTTAAATAAACGAAACATTAGAAAAAATAGCCATTATACTAAAATTACAATAATTAAAATACAAATTTTTTATGTTGGTTTTAATTTTGCTCTACAGTAAACATTATAAGAAGAACAAACCTGCCATTGTTATTAGGTATCAGTGTAACAATGACAGGTTTGAATGCAAAGTGTAACATAAGAAAACATTTAAGGTTTAAAAAAATACAGTTGTACTATCACATCTTCACAGTTTATTGACTTCATCGAACACGCCATATAACTCTTATGTATTTCCTATTGATCACATATCTATCTCTCTATATATACGTGCAATTAAAAAAGGTTTATATGCTTGAGCACAGTTATACTGTCTAACTAGAATGAAAACAACTCTTACAGCAAAACTTACCATTACTTTCAGCATCTGTATTGGTCTTCTCTTATCACAAAATTTATAAAATTAACCCAAAAAATAAAATTCCATTAATATCTTTAAATTCGGTATAATATTTTTACTGACTTATTATTCAAAGTTGTGTTTTGGTTACTGCCATATTTACATAAGGCTTCTAATTATTATAACACATTTTTGATCTTAATTTATTACATGTTATAAAATGATATGAATCTTTGTTTACATATATGGGAGTTAATTTTGTGCTTACATTACAGTTGTGGTAATCTGATCCCAATCACTGTCATGATCAGTAGCCTATATGATCACCTAAGTCTAATTATTAATTAGTAACATTTTAAAGTTGCTATATACTAATTACAAACTAGTTTTATCCCATGTTTCAGCTGCTAAGCTGCTATCCTCAGTAGAATCCTGAGAAGGACTATTCCTAAGCTGGTACTGGTCAGGATTTGAGCCTGGATCTTCTTGAAATAAATCCAGTGCATTATTCACTTGACTGGGTTCTTCACCATTTAGAACTGGAATCAACTAATTATATGAAACAGCACAGAAGTCAGCAAAACCTGAATACTCCTCTTGAAAACATTCAAATAGTTAGCTCGTATAGGCTACCAACCAACAATGATATGTGGTTACTGCTTATAAATGAGTACAATCACTGTGAAATAGGACCCATGAAACTGTTATTTATAGTTAATATGTAATTTAGGGTTACTCACTGCAGCAATCCATGGATGTGTTGGAGAACTGGGTTGAGTTTTCGATGGGATAGACTCATCTTATGGAGAAGTTCAGGAAGTTTAACTACAAGATAACATGAAACAAAATTATCAACACCAAACTAGATTAATCGCATATTCAAACAATTACAGCATAATAGTATTTGCATAAGTTCTATGAATTTTACAAAACTGTTAAGTCAAGATTTCAAATACAATTTTGTATTTTTCTAATACAACCATGTCTTAAAGGCATTGTTTATTGTTGTCAATGAAGTATATACACACACACACACACACACACACACACATAAATAATGGAAAATATTATTCAACTTTCAATAACTGCAAATTTTATTCAGTATAGGACTAAAAAGGCTACTTTACATCACATTCAAGTGTTTTATAAAATCCATTTGATCTACATGCTAATTTAAGCTGTACAGAAGGTTGTTTATAACTGTAATTCTAAAATCTTATCTACTACCATCCTGAACTAAAAAAAATATTATGCAACAATTCAGCCAAAAAGTTAGCTTTTTACTCTGGACAGAGAATAATATATATAGCATTGGAAATAATTATAAAAATAGGGAGAAAAAAAGGATGTAAGATCAAATACTAGAGAAATGCCATGCATTTATTATGTGAAAATGAAATGCATCAGTCACCTGTTGATAGTTTACACTGTGATTGGGTGTTATTCAACCAATTAGAAAATGCCACACAAGTATAAATCCTAGAAAAGCACAGGAACCCATATTATATTCAGAAGTAATAGTGAGAATCCAGTTATGGCTTCCAAGACTGAAGTATCATATGACAAGCATGTGAAAGAAATAAAAGTTTCGGCTGGTCAAGAATACTCCATGAGAAAAATTGTGGCAACACTCCATGTTTCAATAAGAGCTGCATGGAAGACTGTGAAGAGGGTATGTGAAACTGCCATTTTTAATAATAGAAGCTGCAGAGGTAGAAAAACCAAAACTCTCCAAAAGTGATCTTAAGCATCTCAGAATACATACTTTATGAGACAGATGATGGTCAAGTACAGATACAGCCAAATACCTTGTTGTAATTACAGGTTTGAATGTTACCTCAAGAAAAATAAGATACACATAAGCATAAAGTGGCCTCAATGGACAAGTAGCTGCTCAAAAACACTGCTGAGATGAGATAACCTAAACAAACATTTTAAATAGGCATCAGACCAAAAACAGTGGAATGAAGCTGGAAACATATGATCTTTACTGATGAATAAAAATTTGAATTGTTCAGTAATGGTCAAACACAGTTTAGTTTTATGGGGGAGAGGAAAACTGTATCATGGTCAATGTACAAAATCTACAATGAAACATGATGGAAGATTAGTATAAGTTTGTCACTGTATCTCAGGCAGTGGTTTTAGCAATCTACACAAAATATTATGGTACCTTGACTGCTGACAGTCAGATTCTGATCCATCATATCATTTCCCCAGGAACATGACTCGTTGGATGGGGATTTATTTACTAACATAACAATGATTCTAAACATACAGAAAATGTGGTGAAATGATATTTTTAACATCTTAATGGTAAAAAGATGAATGGAACACTCACAACCACATCTTGACTTACATAAAGTGCCAGTATGAAGATTCAAGAGTAATACAGGACAATATTACACAATCACATATTAATGATAAAACATTATGGTAGTATAAAAACAAGGTGTAATTCTCTATGTAAAGCAAATGACTAAAAATAAAAATATTAGTGTATTACACAACTTGTTTACTTTCTTTTGTATTTTTTGTAGTAATGTTTTGAGCACATTAATAAGTTTGCCATATAATTGCTGTCACTCACTGTGTGTGGTCCCTATATATCTATCATTTTTACGTCTTTATAATTATTCACACAACCAAAAAGTGGGCTTTGTATTTTCACTTTAAAAATTATAATAAATTAGGTTTTTCTACATAAAACAATATAATGATTATGTAAAAGGACTAATTAAAAACTAAAAACCCAAACATTTCTACTGAACTTGAATTCTGTAAGATGAAAACATTGAATATAAGAAACTAAGTTAATCATAGCATATCTCTTCCTACAAAACTAAAATGATCTACTTATACTTACCAAACATACGAAGAAGATGGTGAGCTCCATATACAACAGATGGTGGTGGAGGAATTTTCCTGTAAACACTTTCTGGTACCAATTGCCAAGTAAGTACCTCATCTAGCACTTGAGAACTTTCTCTCAAACAGAGAGCTGAGTTATTAAGAGGAGGGGTTGAAGGTCCTGAGTATGTGGAGGAAGCCGAGGAACTTGCACTAGCTACATGTACAGATGTAAGGCTTAATGGTGGTGGAGGTTGAGTACGTTGTGCTAGACTGGAAAGTTGTGAAGTGTTCACATGTGGAACACTTGATGATGTGGTAGATGAGTGAACTCCCTGAAATGCTAGAGATATTGCTCTTAAGTTATGGTGGACAGTTGCAGATGTTGGGTGACAACTCTCAGAATCAGATGTTTCTTTGTTATTTGACTTAAGTTGGTTTTGAACTGTGGGGCCTGAGGAGCGCAACAGCCTTCTTGGTGGAGAGCTGTTACTAGCTAAAATCAGAAAAACTTACATTTCAACAAAATGAAATTCATCCAAAAATGGTATAATTGAAATATTTTTTTATTCACTAATCAAGCCAATATCAATGATTTTTACATTAATATTTATCCCTCAGAAATAGATTTTGAAATCAAATAGTTTTAGGTCTTTAGAATGCTTATTAAAAATATTGTCACTAATTTACGACTTAACAAAAATATTGTAATCTATGCAATTTATTAATAAAAATAAACTTGTAAAATTATAAATGTTGTAAGGGTCTCAATAGCAACGTATCTTAGATAAACACGTGAAACAAAGAAATAACATCATGAATGGAATAATAATAATAATAATGACTTATATTTTTCAAGAGTAAACAATTACTGTACAATCATCCCTTACAGTTGGTCAATCCTCTCTCAAACCAAAATTACATATGTGTATACAAGGGTTCCCAAGGTAATAACTCTTATAATAGTTTTTGTTTATCAATCATACTTAGTTGTAAACTACTAAATATTAAAAAATATTACAAACAGAGTTTCAATTTTGACTTTATATGAAATATAATTTATCTATTTACAAATCTTACTATAATGAACATAGTAGCATGTATGTCAGTATCTATGTATGTAACCTATACTCCTGCACCATCTATTGCATGGCACCACAAACAAAAATCCATAAAACATTTCACACTTTGGGTATTCAAAATTCAGACAATTAGAAAAATAACTGGGGTATGTGCAACAACCATTTCTTTATAATAGAACAATTTTAAATAAAAGTACTCTCTTCACAACAAGAACATGACTTTCACTAGGATTGTACATGAGGGTTTGATTATATCTTTATTGATGTAATTTTAAAAATGTAGTACTAAGAAACTGAAGTTCTTAAAAACTATTATTTTTTCAATAAGTAGTACCACTTTTAATATGTAAAAACATTACAGTTTATGTAAATAAAATTAATGAAAATTTTGAGATTTGTACATTGAATCATTTTGATGGAATGAATTGCGTATGACTAAAAAGCACAATCTGAATACTTTTCAATGAGGTATGAACACTACTATTAGTAATTACTAGCACAAACAGCCACCTGTGGAGTGGTCTTTCTACTAATATTACATAATAGTTACATAAATTTTGGCATTTAAAAAAAGGAAGTGTACACAAAGTAACTCCTTTAATACCTTTTGTGACATTTCAATAGAACTAATCAGACAATAGTTAAAAAAAAAGCAATGCACATAAAAGATGGGCAAATAAAATTAGCGTACATTCAACACTGTTAGAGGAGTAAAATATACCTTATTATGAGAGACACTTGTAGAAGTTAGGCAGAAAGCTGAAAACTAAGAGCAGATATGGGTACTCAAGTTCAAACTGCTACAATCAGACCAGTGGGGTGACAAGTAAAACTTATTTCCCAAAATTGGCAATCCAGCCTTAATAATATTATGCAGTTTTCAAATGTATGATTCACTGAAATTTTTTTAACATACTTAATAGTAAATATTATAAAATGTTAATCAAATTTAAAAATATCAATAGTCAAAGCTTTTTACACTAAACTTGTTTTTTCAAATACAGTTTTTCGCTTACATAGTTAGCAGATTAGTCAAAATAAATGGATGTTTGAGATCATTCACTTAACTGTGCACTCTCTTAATTAACAGCACAATTGGTTGGAGAGTTTATAATTTGAAGGAAAAATTAATCTTTTATACATTTAAATGTTAAATTTTAATCTAATCATCTTTGGTTTTATGGGGCTATAATGCAACTACCAGAATAAAGTTTTACTTTTCATCTCCAGCATACAGTTGTAGTGACCTGTTTTATTTTTATATTTCTCTTTCATTACAAGCAACTACTCTTCTATAACTGGCTATGCATTGTAAATGCTTTAATTTTCAAGTTTTTCTTTTTTCATATATGAGGCTTATGATTAGAAAGTAAATCAAATAAATGATATATCCTTACTACTATGTGGATACTACTTTCATAGATACTTTTTTTTACATTTGCCCTTTTAAAACTGTCTTTTGTATGTGATGCTTATTTTGTCCCTGTTGTCTGAACTGTTTTATTATATATACACATCTTTCACAGCAACAAGAAACAAACCTGAATCAGATAATCCTTGACTGTCCCTTCTCATGTGTAAGTGGGATTTAACTGGTTCTGAAGTTGATAGATGTTCTGAACTTGCCGAGTACCTAGCATTACAGCTTCGTCTGCCACTAAGTGATGTTGGCAAATGCAAGACTGATGCAGCAGAGGAAGTTTTTCGTGAAGTACCATTACAAGAGGGTATCTGCTGTGTGGATACTTCTCTGTGTTCTTTAGTTATTATTTCAACAGAATCACTGTTGTGTGTGACACTATGACAAAAGTCAATAAGATGGAAAATCTTAATGAACTTTTCAATCCATTTCAAAGATAAAAAGAGTTTAAAAAGCATATATGATAAAGAAAACTCAATGAATATTTGAACACAGTCAAGTCAATCAATATTTTACTTACAACAATCCTGCAAAGAACTAAGCTTATGACACACATACAAATTTTACAAGAGGATTAAAGTAATTAATTCAAATTTCAGTTGAACTTTATAGAAGAGATTCAGGATGGTAGCTTAGCAGTTAAAAAAATCCTATAGTTTTCCAATTTTACTTCATATCAGGTATGATTCAGTTCTATGCACCTGTCAACAATCTTGATTAAAAAACACAAGTTAATGATTCCTATGGCAATAAAACTTTTGAAAAAATATCTTGTTTGGAATATCCATTTGAATTATTAACATGTATTTGCACAGTTAATTCCACAGCAGCAGAGAATTGACAGAATTAAGATATTCTGAACAAAATATTTCAGTCAGTTGATATTTCAATTTGTTGTCTGTAAAATGGCCATTACAACCTTGTGTTTAAACACACAACTTCCTTAGATTAGAGGATATACTCAACAATCAACCTAGACAAACAGCAAGGATCAACTGAAAAATTCTAATCTGATGACTTAAAGTAGTCTTTTTTTTTAAATTGTGGAAAACAAACTTTGTTTACTCTGGTTGATTATTGAGGTAATTGGGATATCTTTATTAAATAGTTCAATAATTAGAGATAAAACGTTTTCTCCTCATAAGTTCACACAAATAAAAATTCTAACTGATCACTTTCTATTTCTACTATGGTTTTACAGAAAACCACAGAATAAAAAAAGTTTTACACAGCCTCACTACTGTAAAATAAATTTACAGATTAGCCAGGTACTCAGAATGCACTTTATGTGGTGATCATGTAGCTCTTTTAAGTTAATGTGGTAAACTCTGTGACCCTTCTACACACATGCAGCTGTTCACAAAATAAGCTGATCAAATAGCCAGTTTATTATTATAATGCTAAGACATAAAACGAAGTTACTACTTAATTATCAATAACTTTGCCATCATATACTTGACAATCTTATCTATTAATCTCCAAAACATATATTTTTTTCCTCTCTCCAGTGATTATATTTTACAAACATGTTTTTTACTCCTTGAAATCTTGCCTTTTCACTTCAACTCTTGTAGTATTTGCTAATATGTTAAATCTATATGTACAGTAAATAATCTCAGAAACAAAGAAAATTATCAATTTAAATAAAAAAATGAATTTTCACACTCTTTTTAATAGATTTCTTTGATTTAATTTATCTGTTTTTCTGACCGTGGAATCTTTTACCCAAAGTAAAGTTGGATGTATTGTAAAAGTCAGAAACAAGTGGTTAATATTAATCACATGAGAACTATGTTTCTCCTATCTATGCATTGAAGTATTTAAATTACATAGTAAATAATATCAGACTGCTGAAAAAGCTCTTTACTGCAACTTTTGAAATCTCCAGCTTTTAATACATTTCTTAGATGCTCCAGTCTTCAAAGTAAAAGGATAAAAAGTTAAATGTGGAGTTAAGAAAATTAATTTTTCTTTCAATTTTTTTTCCCTTTATTTTCCTTATGTTCACTCTGTTTTTTTTGTTTTTTTATCAAAAACAAAATTAAGACTGAAAAGAATCTGATCTTTTAATCTAGGCTCTAGATCTGAACAAAACTATCGACCATAAAATGTTTTAAATTAAAACATGTATTTGCCATAAAAGTTTCAAAATACTTAAATTTTGTGTGAATTATTTTAACTGTTAAAACAAAATGACAGTTCAGGAGAAGCAAAGTACTCCTTTACTTTGTTTAAGACAAATAAAAGTAAAATAGAACTACTAGTTTGATCAATCGAAAAATAAAAAATACAAATGCATATCAAGTCACAATCTGCTTACCCTATATTCTTTCACTTGACTCTGTATGATTGAAAAGGCTGAAATACTGGTTGCTACAAAAGAGTTTATACAAATTTCTGAATCGGTTAATTCTCAAGGATATAATTTTTCATGTTCCTATAGTTATCCAAATATTGATCAAAGATATCATGGTAGAACCTTTGGTATCTTTTAGTTGTCAATCAACTATTCAAGAATTTGCTGCAACTTGCATGTCTTAAATAACTACGCAGTGATGCTTACCTGGTTAAAGGATGAGCTGGAACTTGGAAATTTCGAACTGATGAATACTGAGATTTTTCACTCCGATATAACAGTAAACTTGGTAAGGTAAAATCAAAAAATACTCGAAATCCATCCACTACCTCTCGACATAGCTCAATTCTATTAAAAAATTAATAAACATTTTTCAAACTATTTTAAAGTTAAAAGTCTAATATCAACACAAACACAGACAATGTCAGAAAAACACCCAGGTTCAAGAAGTCTTCATATAAAATGATAAAAACCCCATAACCTCAGTGCTTTCGAAAGGTGGACCTCTCTTCTTCAAAGAAAAATCCACCTTTTGAAAGTGCTGGGGTTACAGCATTTTTTATCCTTGTGTGTGTGTGTGTGTGTGTGTGTGTGTGTGTGTAGTAGTATAATAATACTACCTACTAGTTTAGTTAGTTTT